TTCCTTTTGCCTTTCCATCTATGACTTGGACTTATTGTGTGTGAGGTTGCATATTGCTATCAACGTGACATAATTATGCACCTGAAAAGAATTACAAAGTAATTGATAAGAAATATGATATGTAGGACTTAAATTGTTTGTGTTCTACGGTCGACTCCTCGTGATTGAACGACATTTTCGTTGTTAAAATGAAGGCAAGTTTGAACTGGACATCAAATTTAAGGTCTTGTTACTAACAAGTTACCTAGGTCCAAAGATAAGTGTTCTATTTGTAATTGGAAAAAATTTACATTAGTTGTATTTGTTATTTATCCTTGATGATGCAATCACTTTCCTGCACTGATAGATATCTATCAGAGGTTGAGATTCTGCACTTTCACAATGATGCGCTTTTTCAAAGACAACATTATGTCTTCTTGCTTGCTTATTTCTCCTTCAGTTACATGTTTGTTCAACATGCTCATCTAAGTAGAGATCAAAACAGAAATTATACCACGTGCTTCACTACTTAATTCTTTATCTATAGCAAACAAGTCGATTGTGCAGTTTATGTGACTTGCCTGATTTCTTTTAATTTTCTTCAAAAGTACTTCTGCTGCATAATGCACATGTCAAAAGTGTTTCCAAGATTAAGAATAGTCTGTTAAGTCATTTTTCTTATTTGTTGCATAGTTTGCATAAACACGCTGACCCCTTAATTATTCTAATAAAGCGTGTGCACACGCGCATTTTCTAATTTTTTTTTGTCTTTTCGACTCATGTCCTCTTTTCTCCATTGTCAAAACACATGTTAAAAGGCTAATGCACCTCTCGAGCCAAATCACCAATCGTCCTTACAACCTAAAGGCACCACTTTTCCTCTGCTCACGAACAAATTCACCGATGCCCGAAAGGAAAAAGTGGCATTCCACACACAAAGCCCTGTTTCCGTGCTTGAAGGCAACAACTGCCGCTCATCCGTAATCAAATCCTGCACTAGCAAGCGAACTCGGTCCAAACGGGCCCGGCCTTTGGGCCTGAGCCCGTGGCTCTTCATGCTGCCTCCATTTGCCGCCACCAGCAAAGCTGGGAAAGGTAGGGGAAGAAGAAAGAAACTGTCTCCAATCCTCGAGGGAGATGAGCTGCAGAACGGTGTTAAAAAATGCTCCCATTGTGAAATTACGAAAACGCCCCAATGGAGGGAGGGCCCATTGGGCCCAAAGACTCTCTGCAATGCGTGTGGGGTCCGTTACAGGTCGGGCCGCCTTTTCCCGGAGTACCGACCTTTGGCAAGCCCGACTTTCGTGCCTTCAGTGCACTCGAATTCGCACAGGAAAGTGATTGAGATGAGGAACAAGGCAACACAGCAGCCGCTGGGTGAAGTTGTGGGGCCCATATTGATGTTGCCTGAGGCTGAGAAGGAGTTTGCTGAGATGGAGAGCTAGTTGTGTTTGATCAGCTGTGCTGATGTTTCAGTTAGGGTCTAAATTTAGTGTTTACTNTGTTGGTGAAATGTAGGTAGGATCTTGTACAAAAATTTTAAGTTTGAATCTAGAGTTTTTACATTATAGGTTAATTGTTGGAAGTTGGAGCAGTGGGAGGAGGTGAGTTGACTAGAAGATTAGTGTTGTGAGAAGGCTGGTTGCTTTGGTGAAAGTGGTTTTAGTGAGTCGTGCTATGTTTACTTTAGCTGTGACTCTCTTTCCGTATCCGTATTTCGTTTTTGTCCGAAGTTAAAAGATTAGAGCGCTTAAAAATTAAAATCTCTATGTATTATTAACATCTAGCAATCTAAAGAGGGTCCAAATTTAAGATTCTCTCTGTTCTTGTTTCCTTGTTATTTGTGGTAGGCCTGTGTATTTTCTTCTTCCTTTTTTCTTTTTACATACTGCCATTGTAGTTGAAGTACGCAGTTTTAACATATTCATGCTATATATGATGGAATGATTCCTTAAATGAATCGATCATGTGGAAGATTACCTCTATTTACACCATTTGTATATATGATTCTACTACGGCAGTGCTACATGTACAATTATAATTGACAACATTAGTTTGATTGACAACATGGTGTTTTATAAATTTTCATTGAGTCAAATTTTAATCATAAATTTATTTGCATTTCAACCATCCACGTTATGCTACATCATTTATGTTGTCATGAAAATTGTAAAAAAAAATTGTACAAATAGCTCTTTCATTAAATAAAATATACCTCTTAACATATCAACACTTTAGCAACAATATCATTTATGTTGTATGAAATGTTGTACAAAAAAATTGTACAAATAGCTTTTTCCTTAAATCAAATATACCTCTTAACATAACAACAACACTTTAGCAACAGTAATTTTGTTTATCGTCGATATTATATTTCTTCGGGTACATTTTTGCAATGCCCAGGCTACCAGTGGCATCACGCCTTTGTTGAAAATATTCTTCGTTGGTGGTGATTTCACTCACTGTACGAAGAAAAAGATTCTTACGCATGCGAAATCTCCAACGGAATACATCTTCGGGATAGGTTGGATTGTCGGAGAAGTAGTCATTGAACACACTCTTCTCTCCTCTCTCTCGTTGTCTCTCAATGACTTACCTTCTACCTCTAAGAACGTGATTTGTTGGTTGTAAGACCATATTTGGAATACGAACAATCACATCTTCCATAATACAACCAAATTGTTAATTTTGTTGAATAATCCATTCATCAAATTCGATGAAATTCGAAGTTTCAGAACTAGAACTTGAATTTTCAGATGGGTTTTCAGTCGAAGACATTTCTGAACAAGAAAGAATTGTCTTACGAAAAACGAAAATATAATTGATATAAAGAAAATAGATATGAGCTGATTTTGATATCAATTTGATCTGAATTCAACCATATTATATAGGAATGTGGTATGAAGAGTTTGGTGTAGATTTAACTTAAAATAAAGTTAAAGTAAATGCAAAAGAAAAGTAAAGTAAAGTAAATATATAGAAAAGTAAAGTAAAGTAAAAGCAAAAGTAAAGTAAAATAAATAAAAGTTGCATGTGAATTCAATCAATGTGAATTTTATTGAATAAAGCTGCTATTTGATAATAAAATATAAATTTGATCCGAATTCAATGCATGTGAATTTTGGAAGACAAAATAAAGCTGCTATTTGATAGTAATAACTCATACACTATATTCCAAATAGCTCATGCCATTCATTTTATATGTGACTATTATACTAGTAGATAGGACAATCATGGAAGTAACATGTGATTTCTGAAAAAGTTTAAAGAAAAATACTTACTAAATAAACTTTTATTGAATAACTTGAATTACAGGAATTGAAAAGCTTACATCAGAATAACTAAAATGACATAAATGAAAGCAGCACCTGCATGATAATAAATTACATCGACTTTCCAAATAAAATTATTGTTAAATGACGTTTCATCTCTTCATCCTCCAACGATAGGTGGTCTTTTGCCAACAACGTATTCAACACCATCATATTCATTTTCCTAATCCTCCTTTCTTCTTTCTTGCCTTCCAACTCCATCCTATCGTTCGATATTTTTGTCATTAAATCACATTCGTTCTTTCTTGTAAGTCTTAGTGCACGAATTTCTGCAGTGAACTCATCAGGAATGGAAAAGTATTTTGATGCTACCTTTTTTCTTTTCTTTTTCGCCATATCTCTACCTTCGGGATGGGGAATCACAAAACCATCACTAACTGGAGTTTCTGGATTTGAGGGAATTGAATAATCTGCATCTTCAGTAGTCCTTGATCTTTTGGAACTGTCATGGCTTTCTTCATTACTCGCTTCATCTTCAGGGCGTGAACAAGTTGAATCACGATATAATTTTAATTCTCATTTGGGATGCTTTCGCATGACTTCTTCAAACACATGCAGGTCAGTAAACATGCTACCACCAGCTTCATAAATTATATGAGCTTCTTTTTCAACATCTTTCATGCTCATTCCGCTCCTTTTATTTCTGTATGCTTCCATGTAAGCACCTTTCTACTTGTTTACATTTTCATTAAGGCGTTTATAACGACCTTTCATTGAATCCAAGTTTTTGTCACCAATTTCTTCTGGATTTTCTAATCGAGCTTGCTCAAACATTTGAGCTATGCGTGCCCATAATGAAGAACCCTTCTGATTCTTGCCACACATTTTGTCTTCGCTAACGAAACACCAAGCTGACATTAGAGCAAGATCTTCTGTCACACTCCAACTAATATTTTCGTTCCTTTTTTAGGATTTGTGCGTGTCTGTTGTACATTTTGAAATAGATTTCGGGAGATGTTTTGTGGGGGTTGGGCATTTACAGAAACTGGAAATTGGGTAAGATTAGGAGAAAATAGCTCTTGTGAATAATTTTCGAAATTCCGAAAATTTTCAGAGTTCGACAAATTTTGAGAAATGAGGTAATACTCAAAATTTGGATCCATATGCTATTTGTTTGAAACTAAGAAAAATAAAAGAGATGACAAAATTAATAAGGTATGATTAAGAAAATGGTGAAAATAGAGAAATTTCAGTTGTGATCTAAAACAATTCAAGAGTGGTCTCTATTTATAGAGAATGAACAAATACGAGTTTTGATATTTTTTTAATATAAATAAACTCAATAATTGAATTATCTTACCTTATCACATTAAAATTATGGTGGTCAATCAGAAAGGGAGCCTCCCGGTTGGGACTCAAGATCACAATGTGACCTGGGTCGCCCAAAATTTGCCAATTTCCNGTTGGTGACCACTAAGGATAGTCTAATAATAGGATTTTGGTATTGGTTGGCTCATTAGTATTAAGATTTTGGTGCGGTTTGTTTTATTTCAGTCTGGTCTAACCATTAAGCCGACACTCTTTCACATACGTTAGAAAATGTTATACTTCAAAATACAACATAAACAAAAATATAACATTTAATAGTATAAGTATGTAATTTTCATTCAAATAGTAATCGAGTCGATTTGTCACGACCTCATATAAGAATTTGTGTTTGGCCATCCTTGCAACTGTTTACCTAAAATTGCAAGCAAAAAATATAAGAATTTGTGTTTTGGCCATCTTGCAACTGTTTACCTAAAATTGCAAGCAAAAAATATCAAAGTCCAGCCATCTATTCCATTTACCTTCTTTTAAACAGCGATTTGATTGGGATCTCCAACGTGAAAAATAAGGTGCTATTATACATTTCCAATTTCATTCACTCACCCAACAATAAAAAAATATACCATTCGGACCGATAGGAAAAAAAAATACCATTCGTGTAAAATGTACAAGCCACGCATAACTCCAGATCAGTGAGTCATATTTGCTACACGCTTATATAGTTTCATACTAATATCCACTTCAATCCTTTTCTTATACCACCGAGTAAAAAGATAGAAAATGGTATTGAAAGTACTCTCAAGAGATCCTCTTATCATTACTGGAAAAAAATAATCAAAACGAAAAGAAATTTCAACACAACATAAGCTCGTCTTTCATATTCAGAAACAAACAAAACTGAGCAAACAAAATATCTTATGGTGTCAGCAAATAAAATATAATCCACATGCCCCTAAACTAACAACTCCGCAGACAAAAAACCAAAAACCAAAAACAAAAGAACACAGCAAGTCGCATTAGAGAAAAGTAAAAACACTACTACAAGCCAATGGATGGATTATGGGGACACCCCATTTCAAGCACCATAAAATACTTAACCTTCATGAAATGGTTTGGTCTCATTTGCCGCCAAGGCTCGGGAACTGGCCAGGATCTTCAATGGAAAGCCCTCCGGCATTGCTCGTATTGCCGCCACCATAACCACCTCTAAACCCACGCCCACGGCCTCGGCCACGACCACCGGAATTGTTGTACCTTTCACCCTCCGCTGGCTTCAAGAACTCATTTATGCTCACAGACTGAACAATTAAAAATAATAAATCAATTAAAAGAACTCGTCTTTTTGAAATAAGTAAATTTCGCGATGAATGGTTGTTGATTTCAGAGTTTCATAAATTCTTGTATGAGGTAGCGTAACCATTAAACGGGTCGACTCGTCATAGCTATGAAATGCCGTGCTTTTGTTTATGTTGTTTATTAGAGCACCCACACCTGTATCCATTAATTCAAATACAATTTACACTATTTTTATTTCATCCACGTCACGTCCACCTCATCATTTTTAGTAAATATCTCTGCATTTGTTAATACATTTACATACAATTACATTTTGAAGGCAGGCCCACCAATATGCATCTACAAAATTCCATTAAAACTACCAAATGGCACCTGAGGGGCGCACAATTTTTACATTTTGACGTGTTGACCACATTAGTACAAACGAATGTTCATTCCATTTAAATGGATGTTAAGGTGCAGATGCTCGTAGAGTATGATTTCAATTTGAAGATACGCATATCTCTTGAAAAAGTATTTGCCTAACAGCAATCGTATCGTTAAAAAGATAGATTGCAATGAAGAAATGTTAGTAGAGACCATACATAATTTGTGTGGCCAATCTCTTCTATTGATTCAAAAGATAATAGTTGAATTTACACAAGCATGAAATGTATTGCTATATATATGTGTACATGAAGATTACCTTTCTAGCTCTCTCTTCCTTCTCAGCCAACTCTTTCTTTTTATCCTTGTTGTCAGAGCCCTGGAAAAGTATTATTCGTTTAATGCACAATCATCCAAAATATGGTTATCTAACTAACCTCTTGAATGAGTTGGAAATAAACTGGAAGCTAACACGGGTTTTACCAATTTGACAAATATGTCATCATTTGTCTTCTTGTTCGAAAGTGGTTGCATTGCCTCAAACTCTTTCATGTCAACTTTCCTCGACTCAGTTTTAAGAGCCTGTAGAGCCTTCCTTTTCTCCTCCAGAACCTTTTCATACTCATCCAGTGTCATCTCCTACAGTTTGAGACATCACTAGTTTTACCAAGTTGATCTTAAAAATCACATTGAAATAAATGGTTCAGGGAAATAACCGCCGGAAAGGAGGCAGTCCAATCAACACCAAATACAGGATATTAGCTTCTTGGCAGGCAAAATCACGCATTATTGTTTGCACCATAAATTTTAGTGAAGAGAGTTTAGTCCTAAGCTTCACAATCATAAAAGAGGGCCAAGTCTATTAGATGAAGTTGTCTCAACCACATAATAAGGGAGTTATAACATGTACACAGACATGTGAGTGAGGACTCCCGACCACAAATATAAAATAAGTATTAATAGATTTTCAAAATAGAAGAGTATCTTTAAACCCAACATCCAGATAACTAAATCAGAATACTTTGGAATCAAGGAAAGTAACATCTCTTCACCTTATCCTCAGGTTTCTCTTCTACAACTTCATTTTTAGCAGCTTCCTGATCTCCATCAACAGCAGCATTCTCCTCTCCAGATGGCTTCTCAGGAATCACACTTTTCTCAGCTTCAACATCAACCTCAGCCACTCTGTTGCAAAAATAATCACAAGAAATAAACATAAATCATCACAACACTAGCATTCGGAACAGTACATATGCCATACAAGCAAGAAACACTCACTGAGCCAATTCATCAGTCTCTGTTCCCCAGTTCCCTCGGCCAGCTCCTTCCCGTTTTAACTCATTTCTGCACAAGGATTTAATATATTTAGGATGTGATGCTAAGATTCAAACACAAAAAAAAAGTAAGCAAAAAGTGAGCCAACCCAAAAGGATCAGAGAATAAGTCTGACAAACAAAAGACTCTGTATGTGAGAGTGATGTAGACAGAATATGTGTGTGTGTGAGTGCAATAGAGAGAGAAAGAGACCCTTGGCCAGTGCCACTATGTCGGTCGTATTGCCTGCGACGGTCACGGTCACCCTCTCTGCCTTCTCCATTGCTGAAGCCACCTCGACGACCACCACGAAAAGGCTCACGGGGTCCACCATAGCCACCACGTCTTTCATAAGTTTTTCCACCATCAGCCTCTGGTGTACCTTGAGCAGAAAATTCCCTGTTTCCATATGAATTTTCCTTGTAGTTTGAATCCCTGTAGGACCCACTACCACCACCACGGCCCCGGCCATAACCTCGTCCTCCGCCACGACCACCTCGTGCAGATTCAGGTTTTGCCTCCTTGACTACTCAGAATAAAATGCAACAAAAGGTGTACGGATGAGCAGGATAACATACACGATTTATGGTTTGAAATTGACATAGTTTCAATTATAAACCAGTTGGAGAAATTAAACATTAAAACAAGGAGTAGAAAACTATAATTTGATAGATCTTCCGTAAAGGAAACAATGGCGAAATTAGGAACATACAATGGCCACTGCAAAATCAGAAATAAGGAAAATCAGAATTAAGAAAACCAAAGATATATGTCACACAGAAATGATTAATGGTGTCCAAAACATCAGAGCTACTAAAAGGTACACATCAACCGCTGTTGGGACAACTCTTCACCAACATTGGTCTTCCACCAGCCACATTTAATTCTTTTACTCTTCTAACATAAGTCAATTTAAAACAAAAAACAATAAAACAGCCACAGAACATATATTATCCCCTATATAAATTAAATTCTTCTATTGTTGTTAGATAACTATAGTACCATAAACCATAAATAAGTGAACATCAAATTTCAGAAAATCTGCTTAAATGAATACTCAATATTGAACAATAAACTCAAAGCCATAAAACACACATGATAGATATACCTTCCAGACTAAGCCATAAAACAGATAAACAGCACATGATAGATATATCATCCAGATTAAGCCATAAAACAGATAAACAACACATGATAGATATACCATCCAGATTAAGCATATCAGATGAGCCAATTAAGCTAACAACTCGCCATATCAATAGCCATCAAGCTAACATCATCAAAAACATACATGAAACAGAGATATTAAAAAAGACCCAACTCCATATCGCGGGAGCATAGCGGTAGCAATAAGCAAAAAGGAACAGAATACAAAAATGCAAAAAAACTCCACTGGAAGACAAGACTTTACCAGCCTGAGCTGGGGGAGGTGGCTTGGTCGGGAGCTTAGCCTGAGCAGCCTTAGCTCCACCAGACGCCGCCTTGGACGGCGGAGCCGCTGCTTTCTTCGGCTCGGCTTTCAGCTGCTGAGCAGAAATCAGCAGCGACGGATCCTCCGCATCATCATCACCCAGCAAATCAAACGGATTAGCTGTTGCCATCTCTCCCCCAAATCTGCACCAGCAACAAACCCCTCGCTATCGAATACGCGCGCGTGGAAGCCCTATTCAAGCATTGTGTCCATGGCTCCAGTAAATAATCAACAGATCTAAAAATGGTAGAAAAGATAAAAGTAGTACAGTGGGTGCGAGGAGAGTGTGAGATTGTAGGTATCGTGTGAAGTAAAACCCTAGCCGCAATGCAGAGTATAAATATGGACAGAGAGAGAAAATGCGCGTGAGGTTATTCAGAGAATCCCGAATTTATTGGTACTGTTAGATTTTCTTTTTATTTATATCAATTAAAGATTATTTTATTTCAAAAAACAAGAAAATTGAAAATACTTTTTCTACAAAATATTGTAATGGTTGTGTGACTGGATATAGATTACTTCGAAAAATATATTTCAGTGAAAAAAGTGAGCTAATAGTGGGTAAAAATTTAGATGAAAAATTTTGAAATTATGAATGGATATAAGTTAAAATATGATGATTAAAAATAATGAATACAAATATTTAAGAAATATAAATTGATAAACAATAAATTTTATTGAAAAATATGTACAATTGAATGATTTTTATTATTTAATTTAATAGTTAAAAATATGTAAATTTATAAGTAATAACTTTTATTGGGAACCATGTATTAATATTTTTTTAGTTTAATTATGCTGATAAAAATGGGAAGAAAAATAGTGATTTTTTTAAAAGAAAATTATTATCCAATAGTTGTAGGGTGGAAAAAATTTATCCGAGACAAAAGTGAGGACAACTTGTATCAAATCGCGCCTAGATTTCTAGTCCATAGCCCCCGTCACGATAACCCGACTATTCGCCAACAGAAATCACGAAATGCAATCAAATACTCTTACCAACTTTAAATTTCACATCAATTGTTCAACACAAGTACCACATAAATACTCACGCAGGGTACAAACATCCAGTTTCGGCATGCATTTATGGCCGAAAGGAATCGAACCCTGACCGGAAGTTCAGAGAACATTACGCTACCTATCGTTCGCAAGAAGTGGTACACTACGCGGGAAAACCACACTTACACTATATTTTCTTCTCACAGCCTTAAATAAAATCCTCAACAAAGATTTCATACAAGGCAAATGTCCAACTGAAGGAAAGATAGATAGGGCATAGCATCACAATGGACAAATCCCCATGTCTCCAGTCCAGTACTACACGAAATACACAAATTTCGTATTCTTCAATTTTACATCTCCAACAATCAAGCCTCTAAAAAGGCTCAAGAACTATACTTGATTTGCCCCGACAACCACTTGAAAGATTCTACGCAACATTTATCGGCTGCGCTTGTCGTTCTTGACACTCTTATCATCGTTCGTTTGGGGCGAGAATTGGCTGGTTGAAGACGGAGAGTAGCCAGGAGCACTAGGAGAGTATCCAGCACTAGGACTGCAAACAAGCCCCATAAAAAGAACAGAAAAAAAGAAGAAGAATTATCAGGTTGTGAGAAATTAGACTACTGTAAACTGAAATTGTTTTTAAGGTGGCAGGGAATATTCAGCACTCACCTGTACTGTGGAGAGCTAGGGCTATAGTCTGGGTTCCCACTAGCACTATAAGGGCTGAAAAATCATATTCTGTTAGTTAGAAAGAGACTACTGCGGATGGCCTACTTATGTTAGAAAGATGACCAAGTGAAATCCAACCAGACGTCTACGGCCATCCATTATGATAATTCCTTATCATAAAAGAGTTGTGAAAAACTTCCCATAAAACTTGGTCTGACTACAAATTACAGATTGAAAAAAAAGAAAGGAAGGATTATACCAACAAAAAGATAAAGGAGAAATCCAAAATTTGGGATTACAAATAAGAAACCTTTTAAGGCAGTGTCTGTTGTAAAAATGACTCAATGATTACCCACTTAATAGGTGCACTTTAAAAGTATAAGCATATGTCAACAGAATAGATGTTAATTTTTACTTCAAAGTAACTTCTTTCCATACTTATATTATAGGATGACAGGATTATATATAATCATTCTTTTCTTTTTTCCAACTGCAGTGGTGGTGTATGTATTTTTTGGGCATACAAACCCAATGTTAAACAGTATATTCAATATACCTGCTAGGGCTATAACTTGGACTAGACGGAGAATATGAAGGAGATGTTGGAGAATACGAAGGTGATGTCGGGCTGCAAACCACAATGTAAGTATAAACAATGTTAGATAACTGACAATGATAATTCCTATAAGTAAACTCTCTCTCTCTCTCAAAAAGAAAAAAAATATGTAATTCGACAAGTTACCGCAAGGCACCCATGATCAAGAGTTCATTAGTTTGCAATCATGATGAACAAAAAAACTGCCAAAACAAAGATATTGCTAAAATTACCTGTAACTTGGTGATGAAGGACTATACGGACTTGAAGGCGAAATCTTTGGAGATGTAGGTGAATAAGCCAGAGACGGGCTGTATCTTACTGACGGGTTGTAACTTGCAGATGCAGGGCTATAAGTAGGCGAGGTGGGGCTGTAACTAGGTGAGGTTGGGCTGTAACTCGGCGATGTAGGACTGTACCCAGGTGAGGTCGGGCTATAGGCAGGTGAGGTGGGGCTATATGATGGCGAAGTTGGGCTGTACGATGGAGATGTTGGGCTGTATGAAGGTGAAGTAGGACTGTATGATGGAGAAGTTGGGCTGTATGAAGGAGAAGTAGGGCTGTAAGAGGGGGAAGTCGGGCTGTAAGCAGGGGAAGTAGGGCTGTATGCTGGTGATGTCGGGCTGTAAGCCGGAGAAGTCGGGCTGTAGCTCGGGGAAGTCGGGCTATAGCTGGGAGATGTCGGGCTGTAGGTAGGAGACGTAGGTGAATAAGAAGGGCTGGTAGGAGAATAAGCCGGGCTTGTCGGGCTGTACCCAGGAGAGCTTGGACTATAGGTTGGGGAAGTCGGGCTGTAGCCAGGCGAAGTTGGACTGTAGCCAGGGGAAGTCGGGCTGTAACCTGGGGACGACGGGCTGTAGCCGGGTGATGACGGGCTGTAGCCGGGAGATGACGTAGGAGAAAACGCCATTCCACCAACATATGGAGAAAACTGAGCATCCGAAACTGGCGACAGCCGGAGATTTGGGCTCAGCAGATAGCTCGGTGACATCATCCCGTCGTGATATGGGGTTCCCGTGATAGGCGAACGTGCTGGTGTCATGCCAAACTCCAGCCCGCCCTCCATGTAGCTCGGCAAAGGAATCTCGATTGCCTGCTTCAGCATCTCCTCGTTCAGGTACAGCGCACAGTCCCCCGTGCCAATAGGCGCCAGCTGTCCCAGCATGATATTCTCCGTCACCCCCCTGAGGCAGTCCGTCTCAGCAAAGACAGCAGCATCCAGCAGAATGTCAACAGTCTCCTCGAACGAGCACCTCATCATTGGGCCAGTGTCGTTCCGGTTGATTCCGTGACGGGTGATTGCCATCAGGTGGCCGCGGTACGTCATAGTGTCACAAAGTATCGCCAGGTGGCGGTAGTTCACGTAGGACCCGTCGAAGGATATGACGACACGGAGCTCGTCAAGCAGGGCTTTACGGACGGCCTCGATGCCGAGGACCTCGATGACCTCGATCAGGTGGTTGCTCGTCGTCCGCCTGGCATCAACGTCCTCGTGGCAAATGACGGCCAAGAGATTGACGCCCTCTGTATCAAGCATCCACTCGTTCTCGGCTTTGAACCCGTCGTTCTCGTCGAATTTGTTAATCTTCCCGTTCTTTATGAAGACCTTGTTGATGTCCGGAATTCCCCGGAGGGCCATCTCGGTGAGCATGTTGCTCTCGATCTTTTTCAGGAACACGTCGTCCTCGGCCGACTCATCGTTCAGCTCGCCCTTTGGGGCCTCGTCGTTCATGATGCGAATGCGGAGGATCAGCTTCTCGGCATTGTCGTCGTTGAATATGCACGTGAGGTCGTCGTCAAACTCGAGGTTGATCTTCTCGGCAATGTCTGCCATGCTGAGCTTCTTGTCGACCATCATCTCACGGTTCAGCTCTATGCGGAGCAGCCAAGGGGATATCTTGTCGGGGTCGATCTCTTCATCCGGCATCTCGTAGTACGACTTCACAAACTCGACATCTTCTTCGATTAGGGTGCTCATAGGGTCCGGGTCATACCAAACCTCCGTGGCTTGGGTGACGCTACGTAGGGTAGTGTATTCCAGTGCGCACTGGACATTTTTGGCCCTCTCCTTGGTTTTGCTTACGTCGGGATTGAGGTACACAGAGAGAGAGGGTGTTTTGATTTTCTTAGCGACGTTGATGATCTCCCTCAACCTGGGTACACCTAGAGTGACGTTCTTGGCACTCACACCAGCATAGTGGAAGGTGTTGAGAGTCATCTGCGTGGCGGGCTCACCAATGGATTGTGCGGCAACACATCCAATCATTTCCCCAGCTGCAACAAGAGACTGCAAAAAACGAGATTCAATCTCGCCAATAACCCACTCAAAAGCCTCACGCGTAAGTCTGTACTCTTTCAAGACTCTTTTGCTTGCCAAGGCACTTCGGAGCAGTATGTTGAAGAAAAGAGTTGCATTCTTTTGGGCTTCCATACTCAGATAATCATCGCCAACAACCACCTTGAGCCTCTCTTGTAACTTGTCAACAGCTTCCACAATCTCCATTGGGTGCATATCAGAAGGTCTTCTGAAATCGACTCTGAAGGTCTTTTGTGCGTTCAAGACGAGTCTCTTAATATTAACTGGCAGAGGCCAAGAATTGTCACCCGTGGTCGCAATCTCTGTCCCGAGCTGAAACCTGTCAGCTTCGAGCTTCTGAACCTCTGCATCGAACACACTTCTGATTTCGCGAATAGTTTTTAAATCTTCCACAGCCTCAGGCAGCATATAGTTTGGATTCCAATTCGGATTATCAATCTCATACTTGTACATGTCATTGAAGTCCGACCTCTTCAGCTTCAGTGATTCGAGGGGTTGTGATTCGATCCAAACAGCATCCATACCATCTTCCCCATAGAGAAACTGAATCACATCGCCTAAGGAATTTCTAACGGTCCCATCATACTTAACCATGATATCCTCCATAGCCTTCACCAACCGCCTCTGGATGTAACCAGTCTCAGAAGTTTTCACAGCAGTATCTATAAGACCTTCCCTACCACCCATGGCATGGAAGAAAAACTCCTGAGGAGTCAGCCCCCGAAGATATGAGTTCTCCACAAATCCACGACTCTCTGGACCAAAATCATCTTTTGTGAAGTGTGGTAATGTTCGATCGACAAATCCGAAAGGAATTCGTTTGCCTTCTACATTCTGCTGGCCCACACATGCAGTCATCTGAGAAATATTGATGAAACTTCCCTTGGATCCAGCAGTGACCATAGCCTTGAGGTTGTTACTTTCTGACAAGCTCTTCTGTGCACTACTTCCAGCATCATCACGAGCCTTGTTCAAAACCTAAACACACACAAAAAAACAAATAAATAAAAAAAGCACCTAATTAAAGAAAAACAGAGAACCGAATGACATCAGAATTCATGAAGCATCGGAAGAAAAGTAAACTTTTCAATAGACCTGGTTCACTCTGTTTTCAAAAGATTCCATCATAGTTCGACCAGGTTCAGCCTCCAACTGCTTTTCTTGAGCAGCCCTGATTAGTTCTTTCACCTCATTCTTTGCATTTGAAATTGTTTCGTTGATCTTCTCCATTGTTGCAGCATCAGCAATGGTGTCACCAATTCCCATGCTAAATGCATTCTGCAAAAGCCAATAATTCACAAGCCACTGTGTATGTCCCAAAAACTTGCGAGCGGCATCTGGACCAACCTCCTCCCTGGAACCATTCCCACAATTGAAATTAAAACAAAAATAATTGTAATAGCATAGAGATTTGAAGGACCAACATCAAAAAATTCAAAAATATTTGATAGAAACTGTCCATGTGCAAGAATCAGAATTCAAACCTGCGTTTCTTACTACTCTTATTACATGTACAGATAATTCCAGTTAATAACTAGTTTCCTAAATCAAGAACATATTACATTAATCATCATGTGCATACAACAGTGATATCAAATGGCGGCCATGGCGTGGCGGATTTTTGACATTCCGCCATGCAAAATTTGTGAAAGATGGCGGTCATGGCGGCCGCTACGGCGGAATTTCGGCAAACCGCCATCCGCCATTAATACACTGGCATACCAGTCAGTAGTTATGTAATAAATACGAGAATATCAAATGGTTTATCCACTTCACAAGAAGCTTTTTTTTCTCTTTTAGAAAGGGGTCGGGATTTGGTTCTGAAAAATAGGCAACATGAAAAATAAAAAAGATATCAAGTGGTCAGACAACAGAACTCGAGAACGAAAGAGAAGTCAGAAGTATCAATACTCTAGCTGAACCCATTAGATGAAGTAATAATTCAAAGGCAACAATCTTGATGGGGAAGTACCAAATAACATGTATGAGACTTCCACTTGATGTTCCAAGTGTCTTCTTGCAAAGAGTGCCAGAAAGTAACTCTCCCTTCTCTATTCGTACTTGAGTATCTCCAGGAGTGATAAAACCTTTCTCACTTTCTTGATGCCACGCTGAGTACCTCAACAGATTTATCTGTTTTGGTATGATAAGATTGAATACTTGTTTCCCAGTCCAAAGAGGCCTAGGTTTCAATATTGCTGGGGCAGGCACTTTTCCATCAAAATCCTCCCACCACATCAGAATGTTCATGAACACATCCTACATATAAGAAGACAATGATTTCAGAAATGGACAAAGGTTCCTGACAGTTGATTACTTTTTTAATAGGATAAATCACCAGGTTACCTTTTCAATAAAGGTGTCTCTCTTGGTAATTTTGCGACATCCTAAAAGTGTATCCTGCACTATTCCCATTACAGGCCGATTTGACTGTGGTGAGACGATGCACTTTGGAACCATCATCAGTTCCAGCACTTCAGCTCTAGTTTCAAATGACTGGGGCACGTGCATATTCATTTCATCCCCATCAAAATCAGCATTGTATGGTGAGGTAACAGACAAATTTAAGCGGAAGGTTGAGTAAGGCATAATCTTGATCCTATGCCCCATAATAGACATTTTATGGAGACTCGGTTGCCGATTGAACAGGACGAAATCTCCATCATTCAAGTGCCGCTCCACCTGTACCACAAATGAAGGAGATTAGGCACAACTGAAGTATTTAATTCCTAGACCAATGCAGAGCATGGATTCTCACCTTATAACCAAGTTCTAGATGCTGATCACTGCTTTTCTTCAAATACCGGAGATCAAGCCTCTGCCCATCATCCCTAATTATATATTTCGCACCAGTTTTCCCAGGAGGCGGATGGGGTCCATTTTCCACAAGCTCTTTCAGCCTGTATTTAGAGTTTGCTATATAAGACAACCAAAATTGGTATGAAGAGTCAAACCCAAAGATGAAAGAACATAGCTAAAGAGACAAACCTTTCGATGTTATAAGGTGTTACAGTCTCTGGATAAGTAAGATTCAAGGCAATACTCCAAGGTACACCGAGTTGATCAATATTGATGGTTGGATCTGGCGTGATCACAGTCCGGGCTGAAAAATCTACTCTCTTGCCCATCAAGTTACCTCTGATCCGACCTTCTTTTGCCTTGAGTCTGCTACATATTGATTTGATTGGTCTGCCAGATCTTTGTGTAGCCTAGAATAACAAAGGCGCTCCTCTGGTTAGACAAATAGTACTCAAAGAATTAAGTAGTGAGTAGTTTCAAATGTCGAAGAAACAACCATACCCTCGGTTGTCCTGGCAATTCATTGTCAAAGTACGTTGCTACATGAAACTGCAGCAATTGTGCAAACTCTGAGATGATGTGTGCAGGGGCCCCATTCCTCTCTTGCCTCTTCAAGTTCTCATTGTGCCTAATAATCATCGCCAGTTGATGAGTTAAATCATCCTGCATCAAGATAATAAAAATAAGATCCTCACAACAGCTTCCAGTGCAGCAAGCCACAAGTAACAGAAAAAATAACTCAAAACATAATAGATCTAACAATTCAGTAAACTGGGCAATAATTTATGTAGTGACAGACGAAGCATACCTCACTCCTAGCAGAAGTATCCATCATAACAGAAGGTCTAACAGGAGGTGGAGGAATTGGAAGAACTTGAAGAATCATCCAGTCAGGACGAGCAAATTTCGGATTCAAACCCAACAATTGACAGTCTTCATCAGTTATTCTCTTCAGAATGCTAAGAACCTGAAATAAAAAGTAATTACATAAAAAATAGCAGCATGCATCAACAAACACATTCTTATCAGAATATAAATGTGAAAATCTCTTCCTTTCTTTAGCAAAGTGGCATACAATACCTTCTCTGCAGAAAGAATCTGTTTTCGTTCAACAGGTTCAGGCATCTGTTCCTGGTCATCACTTTTCTTCTTCTGGAGCTTGTATTCAGCAACCATCTTCATTCCATCAATAGATATTTTTGGCTGCTGAGCGCCACATCCACCTCTCCTCTTCTTCAAAGGTTCAGACTCTTGATCTTGCACATCAATCTCATCACCTCCTTCACATTTGGTTTTGTTTTTGCAGGCATCCAATATCTTTTTTAGTCTATTTTTGGGGTTTCTTATTCTCAATGCTTGCTTGAACTTTGTATCCTCCTACAAAAGATCACCAAAAGGAAAGTTAACCGATCAAGAAATTTATTGACATTTGTGCAGTTACATTCAACAACATGGATCCTCTCGAGACAAATTCAAGCAAGGATAAGTATTGGCTCATTGAATAGCATTATTAACATGAAACCAGCTGCATCAAGACCAAGCAACACATCAAACAGGTTCTCAGTCACCATGATTTCAATAAAAGATATCGTTTTGAAAACATTGTCGCCCAAGATTCCAAAATTGGACCATAAGTAAGGGCGAGCAGCGAGCTACGTGTGTCATCATGCAATGGATATTAAAGAGGCTCCTTCATATGCTTTATTTGGAAGGACAGCCTATTTAATGTAAGAGTTGTCTGGTCTTCTAGTATATGGTATCCCACCATATACATATTAATGTTATGTTAACAAATGCAACATTACAGCAATTTAATCAATTCAAAACAGATAGGAAACCGAACAACGTGCCAACTAAAGACTCTTCCTCAACTTTTTTGCTAGGTTCGACATAATCCGTCAGGAAATCTATCTTTGATTGAATGCATTCAGCAATTTCTAAAGTGACCCAACAAAATATGACATTGATTACATTTCTATGAAAAAGAATAAAATAAAAAAGGAGCATTTCTAGTTACTCAAAATCCTACGATGGAAGGTTTCTACTTCAATTACACTTAGACCCATGAAGTTCTAATCTAGTCTTGAACTTTCTTCTCTATCCATTATTATACTAACACTCACTCACACTTCTAAGAAGCAACACTCTATGCAAAACAATCAAAGAACTACTCCTAATTTCTCGGTTATTCAATCAAGGCAACGGATATCACCTCATCAGCCAAAATTTTTGAGCAATTGAAGCAGACACTACGTAGAATACTAAGAACCGTCTTCATGAATCCTATGTGAAACATAGGCTTCGCAAGCTCCAGGTGGCCAAAGTGACCCGGGCACTCGGCCATGTTAGCCATACACGTCTCACACTTCATCTTCCGATCAATTGTCCCCAGACGTGGGTCGCTCAAGCCCCCAATTTTTGGCTTGCCCCTTTCCGTGGTCTCACTGTGCTCTATGTGCACAACCGACATTTGCCTCTGCAGAAATAAACAAAAACAACATAGCATCACGCAATTGATTCCAATTAAACCCATTCGAACGCTCGCTTCAAACAAGCTGAGCGACAGATATAGTAACAAGGAATTACGATCTCATCGGGACTGAGTATGCCAAATTGGACAACGCGGACTTTGGCGACCTCCGCCGGAGAAAATGGGAACCGCAGATCCATGGAGTGGAAATTGATGATATTGGTGCTAGCGCTTTAGTATCTCAACAATTAGGGTTCAGTAAAGGTTTTTTTGTTTTTCCGCGATGTCAGTGGATTCTGTAGCTTCCCAACTGTTCTTGGGGTTAACGTTACTTTTCTGAGGTTTTATCAGAAATCTGTGTATTGGAGCTTTTTGCCCCTCGGAGGAAGAAGACTCCGGCAAACGAAGAGCAAGAATTAGGGATTGGTTGGATATTTATAAATGTAGTGGCCGCATGGTCTTGACGCGTTAGGAGGTGTTTGGCTGTAATAATTGATATACTTGTGGAAATTGGGATTTCTATGTAGCCATGTCAATAAAACCCGCAGAATTAGGTTATTTGCGGGTTACTTGTATTTTTGAGTCGGGTAAAATATAGGATGATCGGGTTTCGAGTCGAGTACGAGTATAACTATACTACCCGAACCGGCATCGTTTAGAATTATTACACGACCACTTCTGGTACGCATAAAATACCTATGGATAGATTCGTCGTTCACAATGATTACACGACCACTCCTAATACGCATAAACAAAGACAAACAACACGTCACGAGCACCAAATAAACAAAAGAGAGTAAACAATAAACAACCTAAAAGATCAACTATCCACTAGGAAAAACAAGAGAAACACACAAAAAAATAATCACAAGAAATAAGAGAAACACTGAAAACAAAGTGAATAGGCGCACAAACTAAGTCCTAAACCTTTCCCGACAACGGCGCTATTTTGTTGTAGTTATTTTTACCGGAGTTAAATCAAATGATTCAATCCCCGGGTCGTGTTTCAAGGAAGGTTAGCATGATTAAATTGCGTGAATATTTAGTCACTGAAAAAAAAAATAATCCTAAACACTATAATTCTATTGTTTGAGTTTTCAATTATCAACTAATGATTTTCAAACTAGGACAGACGGAATCTCAATTGCACACAAATTCACTTAATGATAAAAGAGCTAGGAAATCAGGGATGATCGTTTTCGGTTCTTAATACAATTATCGGACAATCAATTGCTCGGCCAAATGAATTGAAAAGCTTACTCGTCTAGAGGTTTATTCTCAATAATTCTTCATAACAAGAGAATAACGTTAACAATCAACTATCACATCGAATAACACATAGACAATACATTTACGAACAAGTATATTAAAAACGAGCCTAAATCGATCGATCTCTCCCCTTTCCGTTCTAAAAGTCAATTAACTAGGTTAAAATGGTGATCAATCAACTAACCCTAGAATTCATACAACTCGCATAAATTGAACAATTTACAAGCACATAATCGAAAAAGAACCGTAACAATCATCCCATATCCATAGCGAACGGATTTAGCTACTCATCGCGATTTCAACATTCAATATCACATCAATCAAGGTCATCATAATCACAAACAAAATGAGAAGAAACAGTTACGATTAATGCAAAATCACAATGTCAAATCCAAGAGCAATCCAAACCCGAAAACTAGAATAGGAGTTTTGACTCTCCACAAATCAAACCAAGTGAAAATTCAAGAGAAAATATGTTGTGCTAGAGAAAAAAACGAAAACACGAGTCTGAGAATAATCATTAAGCCCTAGGATCGATATGCCTTTTATATCCTTCGAAATTCAAAATTTTAATTTTTCAGCATTGCGCGCAAGGACTGCCGCGGCGCGGCACTTTGACGTGGCAGGTCATGAGACTGATCGCGAGGGAGCGGCGCGATGCGCGTTTGAGGTTGTGCCACGGCGTGAGGTTCGTCACGGCGCGGGGACTGGTGATGCCGCGACACGGGAACAGGACACGAAAGATCACTCTGCCAAAGTCGTGGGAAGCGGGGTAGTGCAACAAACGCCCGGCGTGACTGCTGTCGCGGCGCGGGAACTAAGCCAGTTAAGAGAATCGTGCACTCGGGTTGGTTCGACATCTCTAGAACGCGCGGGTTGACTCGTGTCAGAGGGTTGGGACGTATTGCTCGGGTTCTTCTCTTCTAACTGAATAGCTCCAAATGTGTGATGAAACATCTGAACCTGCACACCACCAAAGACGAGAAAAACACACGAAAACAGGCAAAACAGTAGAAAATATCAAAAATTGGAAATAAACGGTAAACACGAGAAACAACCGACTGGAGGACCAAAAAAACCTAAAAAGATACTTAAAACGGGGGTAAAAACCAACAAACAAACAAAGAAAAAGATAACATAAATAGGACAAACATACATTAAGGATTTGTATTATATATGTACATATATAAATGTTAATAATTTTTTAGATATTTTTTTACACATTATATACATTAAGGATCTGTATTATATATGTACATATATCGATGTTAAATTTAAGTGTTTTTTACAAAATAATTTAGAATACTTTTTAGGTGACTTCACATTTGAAAAACATAGTATATTTTAAAAAGTTTACACATGTTATATCATATTGTAGGTAGTTTGAATATTTTAAACATACATGTATTATGTTATTTTATAAAAAATAATTTTATATTTTTTACAACAAACTGGTATATGTAAATTATATCACATGGTAATCCCAAATCTTTATAATTATTATTTAATATTATTACCCATATCTTTAATTTATAAATATTATTTAATATTATTTACTCGTGCGTTGTATGGACTAGTTATTTAAAAAACGGGTAGCCTGTAATCCCTCGTGGAGGCTAACGGGCCCAACGGTAGAAACCGATTCTTTTAGCCCGTAGATACGGGAACCTCCCCAAAAGAGATTCAATATCTATCAAGGTGGGCTTTTATATTTACTAAAACGGGCCCAAATATGATAAACTAAATTTGGGCCTATTGAGTGTTGACAGATAGAGTGATATTCATCACGATTAGATTACAAGAACATTATTGAGGCTCGATATTATTTTTACAATTTCCTCTCACTTATTATAAATGAAAAAAGGTGTTTCAAAAGTCCATCTTACACTAATAAAAATATAAGAGCATCACCTTACGTAATATAACAACATTCACAAAAACTTTGGGTCTATCTAAAAAATAAAAAAATAAAATGACATGTAGTAAATAGACTCAGTGTATCTACTACGTGTAGAAAAATATATTCTTCAATTCAAATGAATGGGCTATGGCTAATTGATGTGACGGTAATAAAATAAAATTTGTTCTACCCTTCAATACACTTGATACACAGTAAAGACCCAGTCTTTTTACATAGGAAATGAATTTAGCTATTTTTACTTGGTTTTATCATTTACATCCAAGTTTTGAATCCACTTAATGGCCACGAATTCTAAGCATTGTAAATCTTCTCGCCAAAATAATCATATCAAAATTTAAACTTGTCTGAACTTTTATTTTCTTATCCCCTAATTATGTCGTTCCCTACTTGTCAAATTGTAATCCGCAAAAAATGCTAGAGAATAATATCTTATTGTAATCTGCAAAAAAATGCTAGAGAATGAATCTTTTATCAATATGAACCTTTATGGAAGTACCACTAATCTTGGATATATCTAAATGTTAGTATGACTATTTTTGATAAATCAAGCTGAAAAATTAACTTATAAGTTAATATTGAGCTTATAACTCATAGCTTGTGATTGATGACTGAAAAATTAGCTGATATAATAAATATTGTAAGAAACGGGGGGACAACGGGTGCGGTCCCACTCACGTGAAGCGCACCATAACAGGAAAAACCCAGATGAAGCGTAAGTGGGGTTCCATCCTAAAATCAATTGGTGGAAGGAGGAGCAATCCACTAGACTTATAAGTTAAGCCTATTTTTCCTATATAAACGATATGAGACAACTCACAAATGATATTCTAACAAATGTGTTTGGTAAAATTAGTTGGTAAGTCAGTTGAACAGAAAATTCAACGATTTTTTGGAAAAAACTAACTAGAAAGTTTATGAGATAAACTCCATCTTCTTAAACAAGTTTGTCCTACCAAACTAAATTTATTTGAATGAAAAAAAATTATAAGTTACCCAAAAAATTATAAGCTATCTTATTGTACTTAATTACCAAACGTACTCTATGTCTAAATCTTATGCAATCATACACATGTATATGTATGTATATTTATATTAAAATTCACACTTTAAAACTATATATATATCTATATATATATAATATTTTTTTTACAATATAAACATGTATTTTTATTTAAATGTTACGATGCATCTACCACCTATATAAACGTGTTATTTAAATCACCTCACATATATGTACCTTTCACTTTCAAGTTCCAATGAATGAACAATAAAGAAGCTAGTGTCCATTCAAAAATTATACTCCGTTTATTCTTCACCTATGGGCACTCTTAATTAACCCTTTAATTATGTATCAGATGTAGGGGTGAGCAAAACCGAGCCGAAACCGAAAAACCGAGCCGAACCGGTGTGTTCGGTGCGGTTCGGTGCGGTTTTTTGAGATTTCGGTTACGGTTCGGTTATATTTTCAGAAAAACCGAAAAAAATCGGTGCAATTCGGTTTTCTGTCCGAAAGGTGCGGTTTTAACCGAACCGCACCGAAATTTCATAAGGGCCATTTCATTACATATACATTACATAGCGTTTATTTTTTTTCTGATTAACATAGTTTTATAACTTAAAACATAAAAACTTATCTATTGTTGCCCTAATTTGCACTTTTCACTCTCGGTCTCTCAATCGCCTCCCTCTCGTCTCTCAACTCTCAACTCTCAACTCTCGTCTCCCGCAGTTCACTCTCAAGTTCACCACCGGTCTTCCGGCGCTCTCAACCGCGCTCATCCACCGGCTCCCTCAACCACGATCTCCGTCTCTCACCCCACGGCCGTTCGACGTTCGCTCGTCAATTTAGGTATCGCACTCTCTCAGTCTATTTATTTTCTTTTCTCATTTCGTCGTCTTGTATCAATCTTTGTTGAGGTTATTGCCGTATTGGATCCGAAAATCAATCATCTGGTCTGAAAATCTTCAAATCTTGAAACAATTAATTTTTTTCCCTAATTTTAGCCCTAATTTTGATATATATGTATTTGTATATATTCTATACATATCATACCTCCTTTTATAGTCTAAAAACCCAGAAAGAAGAAAAAGCAAAACACGCACAAACACGCACTCAAGAATCTTGGCTAGCCTTCTCCCTTTTTCTCCACGATAAGTTTCGTGAGTTTTTTTTTTTGTTAGTTTTTGTTTGCAATCGTGTTATGATGAAATGAAGGTAGCAAAATTATGCAGATCTGGTTTCTGTTTGTGAAAACTCGAAATATCTTGATGAAATTTTTTTATGACAATGACAATGAGAACACAATGGAAGAATAAGAATGCAAGGTTTTTTTGTTTATTTGTGTTGCTAATTTGGTGTTGCTATGTTTTGACTATTGAGGGTATTTTTTAATGTATTTTTGTTCTATTTATCTTCTCTGTTTCACTGGCAGGGCAATGGAGGGCTGCTCTGTTTCAATGGGCTGAGGGCTGGCTTTTGAGTTGGTTGCTGCTGTTTTTGAGTGTTGTATGTTACTGTTGCATTGTTGCTGGTTTATTTATTTATTACGGTTAACCGAAAAACCGAACCGAATTGAACCGAAAATTTCGGTTCGGTTTGGTTCGGTTTTTCCTTCTCTTGCGGTGCGGTTCGGTTTGGACATTTTAACATTTTCGGTTTTCGGTTTTTTGCGGTTCGGTGCGGTTTTGCACCGAACCGCACCATGCTCACCCCTACCGATAACCGAACCGAAACAACCGATAAATTTTCGGTGTCAAACCGAACCGAACCGAACCGTAGTTTTTGGTTCGGTTTTCGGTTTTAATATTGGTCGGACCGAAAATTCGGTTAACCGAATTTTCGGTCGGTTCGGTTCGGTTTTAACCGATTGTGCAGCCTACTTGTTGATCATGTACTCGATCCTTAGGTGTGGGTGCTCGGCCTTTATAATATAGTTGTGTACAAAAACCCATAATGCATTCTTGATTACCTTTTCTTATGTTTGCTTATATCACCTAAATGCATGACTAATTTACTTTTTTGTTAAATTGATAGGTTTTAATTATAATAGAGGGTCGAAAAGAAAAACTATCAAATCTTAAAGGAGCATACGTCGACAAGCGGATATCGATGATGTGGTCGCATCTATTGATATGAGTTCTCTTGAACGTGACCCGTCCTTGCGTACACCAATATGGAAATGTCTCGTCGATTAAAGAATCGGATATCGTAATTTCATTAGCCCCAGGTACTTTAAAATCCTAGCTCCGCCCCTGCTTTTGATAGATACTTTTTCCAACTGAAGCCCTATTACACTGATACTCAGTAATTATCCTTGTAAAATTGTTTGTATATGTGATGCAAGAGCTAGGAAGCTAGCATTGCCATACCCCATACATGCTGCAAACTGGTTTTCAGTTTGTCCTGTAGGTGTCTTTTTCTTTAACGAATTTCATCTTTTAAGATCATCTACAGATGCATAATTCTATGCACTATGCACAATTACATTCACATGCATCTAATTCAAACACATGCCCTGTCACATATAGTGAAGGACTGAATCCTACTGATATCTAAATATGAAGTAAATTCGTTTATATGCATTAACCGAAACCCACAGCCTTGTACAACCAATATTCTTGCTTTTCTTTGTTATCGAAACGTTAATTTCTAAGCTTACATTTAAGAAATTGACTTACACAATTCAACAAAATATCACAAACTTCAAAACATTAATGTAAAGTATCACTTCTGGTAAATGATGCTTCGGTACATTCGGCTTTGATGTACAATAGCGATACGTCTTGTGGTCGATTAGGTAGAATACAAGCCTTCTTTCAATTGATCGAATTATTGCTTAATGAACCTTGAGAATCCCTGACCATGGATAACTTATAAGTTGCTATAAAATTGTTTTGTATATTTTCTTTAACTTCGGTTCTGTTTTATTTTCATTCTCTGGCTCCCAGCCCAAAAATTAGCGGACAAACCTAATTATCATTCAACCCAACCCAGCCTATATGAAAGCCTATCAACCGCATACGATCATTTTCGTTTATTCTTCATATTTCCACAGCATTCAAATTAATAAAATCACTCGAAAGTAACAGTAAATTGCATGTACGGACAGAGTTTCAATTCCCGTCTTCAGATTCTAGTTCTTCATCGACTCCATTTTTCTCTGTAGTCACGCGGATGGATCAAGTAACACAAGAAGTTGAGAAAGTTAAAAGGGATTTCCACGAAACGTACGACCAAACAGTGAAACACATTGATTCGATCCAAGAATACGGGATAAAATCAAGGATTGGCAATCCAGGTGAATCGGAAAAGATAGATTCTCTGCCCAGATTGAATGGGCTGGCTCAAGATGGCCTCAACACGCTTCAATCACTACAGTTTAACCTTGATCTTCTTGCCCCTCAACTTCCCTTCGTTGACGACGCTGAAAAAGCGCAATCGTTGGCTCAGTTATGGGAGAAACAAATCCAGAGGTGCCCTTCAATTTTTTTTTTTTTTTTTTTTTTTTTTATTGTCTTACTTTTGTTTTCTCTCAGTTTCGTGAGGATTTGAAGTGTATACTGCAATTTCAAATGCGTTGGTTGTGTTTGTATCTGCTGACTGGAGTGCGGTTTTTCAGTATATTATCCAGATGTATTATTTGGTCAAATAAAAGTTAAAAAGGAAAGGAAATACATTAAAAAAGTCGAATGTGGTAGATATGCGTTGAGCTTAAACACTGAATTGATTTTAGCCTTTTGGGCATTCTGATATTAGTTGAATTAGTGCATACCCATATGGTCAAATGTGTGTATTAATCTCATTTTGTTGGATGATACTTGTATACCCAATGAAATCTTCATTTTGCTAGTGCAATGTTGAGTTTGTGTTTTGACTTATTTTGATCTTTGATAAATTGTGGCAGTAAAGTGATTGTGGGTACTGGTTAGTGAAGGGTAATGTTGAGTTTGTGATTTGACTTATTTTGATCTTTGATAAATTGTGGCAGTAAAGTGATTGTGGGTACTGGTTAGTGAAGGGTTTTGTTTGTTACTGCTTATGCAATGTGGTCATTTACTAACATCTCTTAACTGTGTAAATCGAATTGTAGTTTGCGGCTGAGTTTAAGGAATGCTAATTTGCAAGCAAAGGCAAACATGAAGAAAACTGCTCAGCAAGAGGTAGTGGACCTAAATTAAATTGATCCTCATTTGACATTTAAATGTAGAATATATTTCAGCATTATTGAAAAGTTGGAAAATTCTCTTGATACATCTCTTATAGATGTTAACCTTTATATGATGCTTTTGAATAATGGGAACTTTGACTTCATTTCACTAACTGACCATCAAGATATACTATGTGTTGTAATTCTTAGAGAGAGCTTCTTTTGGGAGGTGGGGAAGAGTCTACAACTCGAAGGCGCAATCTTCAGTACGTAAATTTACTCTCTGGCATCTTCTTTCTGTTCCTTAACCTAAAGTATTTGACAAGGAAAACATTTTGAGATTATGTATAATTACTGAATATTGAAATTTAATCATAAAATCTTGTTAGGACGAAAGCAGGAATGACTTCTGCTGCTGAGAGCATTACAGAAAGCCTTCGACGTACACGCCAGCTCATGGTTCAGGTTGTAATTTTATTTTATTTTAATGTTGATACCAATATAAATTGTTATATGTAAGTCTGACCATTCATTCTGATCATAGGAGGTTGAGAGGAGTACAAGCACCCTCATGACTTTCGGTATATTCTTTTTTTTTTTTATTTATGTGNACCCTCATGACTTTCGGTATATTCCTTTTTTTTTTATTTATGTGTATCATAAATTAATTACGGTGGTTTCTTTTCTCCACTGATTTATTTATTTGTTTATTTCCCAACATGTGTCAACTTAGAAAATGATTCCCCCAGCATTTTATATGTTTTTACAGAGGAATCGACAGGAGTATTGAGAAAAGCCGAAAGCGAATATAAGGGCCATCGCTCTTTGCTCTCTCGAACCCGAGGCCTTCTCTCCACCATGCAACGTCAAGATGTTCTTGACAGGCCTGACCTCTTTCCTTTCCCTTGAACAGAACAATTACCAAATATAGCCTCATCAATATATGGCTTGCATTACTCAAATTCACAAATGAGCCCCATTAATTTTTCTCTTACTTAAGGGGGTAATTTTTGCTTCTGGAAGATGACTGGAATTTGTTTGCAATTATGTAACATGAGGGGTGGTTTTGTGATTTACAACTTTATTTGGTTGCCTCTCTCTGTCTAAAGATTGAACTTGTTTTTGTTTTTGGGTTTTGTTTTGCAGAGTGATAATTGTGATCGTGTTTCTTCTTTTCTCGTTGGCTGTGCTGTATGTAGTTTCAAAGCGCATTGGTATTCTGAAGTTGCAGAGAAAAGTGATTACTGCTGTGAAAGCTGGGATGGCCGGTCAAGGAGAGATTATGGCGCCTTTGGTCGGTAGGGCTGATATGAATGCTAATCCTGAGTTGAATGGTCCGTTAGAACAAGTTATGCATGACGAACTTTGAACGTCTGAGTTAAACGTTTAATTCCGTATTTGTAAGCATGTAGAATTTTCACAAAGGATTGTACAAGTTACTAATATTGACTCCATATATGTTTCTGTTTCACAATTAGGTATCTCCAACTGATGTTACTTACATAGCAAATACGAAATCAGAATGGGGCAGTTGTGTTTTTCACTTTCTGTATAGAATGTGAAAGAAATCCGAGTGAAAGGGACTGTTGTTTTTCTTTCATCGACGAAAAAATTCTTGCAAGATCGACTATAGTCAAGTGAAACATCTATATACGAATCATTAGGTACAATGTGGATGAACAAACTATATTTCTTTCCCCACCTTCTTCCCTTCCAAAATATATTTTTAAATAGGAACATTAGTGATTTGTAAAATTAAATGAAGACGGTAAAGAACAAAGAGTATAAAAAAATATATATTTAAATTGGAACAAAAGTGATTTGTAAAATTAAAATGAAGATGGTAAAAAGCAAAGAACCCGACTAACTGAGACAAACATGTATGTTTTTTTATTTTTCTGTTACTAGGTTTTGGTTATGAGGAGATTTTGTAAAATTAAAATGAAGATGGTAAAGAGCAAAGAACCCGACTAATTGAGATAAACATGTATGTTCTTTTATTTTTTTGTTACTATGCCAAGAAGCAGAAGTTTTATAGGTTTTGGTTCTGAGGAGATATCCTGCAGTTTATACTACAACCTACACCGATAGTCATGTCCATAACTATCTCAGTTGTGAGTACCATTTATATCTTATAAGGAACCGACAATGTAATCTTCTGTGTGACTACTAACACACCACATTGTATACAATATAAGATAATTGGACATTTAGCATACAAGCAATCATAAAGAATGCAACAATGTGAAAAACATTTATTTCAGTCAAATGGGAAATCGAATAATACAATCCAAAAGCTCACGTAAAAGTTTGCTTTACAGTATACTCCAACAACAACCTCATACACAAGAATAGAATAATGGAGTATCCATGCTAGCTTAATTAGGCATAAAAAAAACAAGATGCTAATCATGAGTTGACCTTGGTAATGATACTTAGGCTTGATCTTAGGCTGAAAATTATCTAATCTCCCTCTCTAATAGGTGCATGACTAAGGACTATGCATTAGAGTAGATTACATGTGCCTTGGCTCGGTTATGAGGATTGGCGCGAGCTAGGTGCGCACGGCCGGACTTGCGCCTTGCTAAGGCTTGAGAATTGTTTGGTGAACTTATCACTTAGAAAACTTCTAAGTATCATACTATTAAGGCTCGGCTAGGGTTAAGGATCAAGAAAACTCAACACGAGAGTTATGCGTGGCTTGGGGCATTAGCACGGCGAATGCGCGGCTAGGGCACTACGCTAGAGTTCAATGGTTCGGTTCAAATGACAATATTTTGAACATAACAACCGAATAATCTAACATACATAAATGATCATAAGGCACTTAAACGCATGATTTCACGTAATCATGTAACAATAACACTTAAATCAAATAACTCAAAAAACTGAAAATTACCAGTTTCACTTTAAAGTCGAGCAAGTGAAATCGTTCTCATATTATAACTGATCGGGGCGTTACACAAACACTCTTTCATTCTTTGGTTGGGAGTGCTCAATCGTCTTCATATAAAGGACCGGTTAGAGTTCTTTGATGAAGATCCGACTTGCTCTCTTTGTGGAGACGTTGTAGAATCATCGGGTCATCTATATTTTGAATGCTCCTTTAGCTCGAAAATTTCGGAGGTGATTTGTGATTGGGTTAGCCTCCGTCATAAGCCTTTGACTCTCAAAGGAGCTCTTAAATGGACTACGAAGGAGGCACGAGGGGCTACTTGGCAAACCAAGTTGAAGAAAGCGGGCTCACGGCTACCGTTTACTTCATCTGGAATGCGAGAAATAGGTTGATTTTTGAAAACCGACCAGAGTGAGCAACCGACCTGTGGTTGTCCTCTTAGACTTATTATTTGCGAGTGAGGAGCCGAGCTTGTTGCTGCCCACTGCGCTTTTGTATGCCGTTTGTCGGTCGTTTGTACTCCAGTTTTGATCTATAAATTTATATTTACCATTAAAAAAATAAATAAATTAAATATCTCAGGATTTTGTAATACTTTTTAAAATCCTAATTGAATACCCCAAAATTTTTAAAAGTCTTAATAAATCTAAATTGAATACACATGATTTTTAAAGTATTAAATTTTTTTTAAAAATTCTAATTGAATATAATGATTTAAATTTCTATAATATTAAAAAATCCTTAAGATCCTAATTGAATATAATGATTTAAATTTCCTAAAGTATTTAACATATTCTACGGAGCCAGGCCCAAAAAAATTACGCTTCTCAGATCGGATACGACTTAAAAATCAGAGAGAGCGACCAATCGCGCTCCTCCCCGAATACCAAATTCTCCGGCCAATCCAAAGGTTTACACCCCAAATCCCCGTCATCTCGCGCTCCTCCCCGAACCGAAGACCAAATTCTCCGGCCAATCCAAGGGCAGGACTACACCATCCTCCGCGCCAACACAAATCCTCTTACACACCAAATTTTCGTCATCCTCGCCGTCTGCCCTCACCTGCTGCACTTTTTCGAGTGGTAAGGTCGCCGTTTGTAAGTCAGATTGGTTTTGCAGAGAAGATTTATTTGTGATTGTTTTGTTTATTCGTGCATAACTGTTTATTTTTTGTGCTGGTAAGGATTTTTGTCGCTTTCTTTTTTGGAGTGGTAATGGGATTTTTCATAATCGGACCACGGTGCTTTTGATCAGGGGCGGAGCCACCCATGGACTAGGGTGGGCTCCAGCCCCAAGTAAAAAAACAAAAAAAAAAAAATTAATTTACATGTTACATAATTTTGGTTGTATAGCCCCATGTAGTTAGAAAACTAGCCCACTTATTTAAGTTAGCCCAACAATAAAAAGCCCAAAAACTTAAAAACAATTACTTTTTTTTTTGGCCCACTGATCCACATTAATTAATTTGCACGGTTGCACACTAATAAAAACAACTAAAAGACTAAAAAAAAAGAAAAAAAAGTAAAATCCTTAATTTTGGCCCACTCCGCTCTCATCCTCCAAATCCCGCATCCACAATTTCAGCCTTCAAGCAAACACCTGTTTCATTGTCCCGCTCGGCGCCGACTTCACTCCTCTTTGCCTCCAATCTCACCTCCTCGACTTCACTCTTTGCCGCTAATCCAATTGCCCCGGCCCTAGCCCTCGGTTTCACTCCTCCACGGCTGCGCCTGCGCACCGCCACCACCGGACTTGGTCCTACGGCCACGCACCTCGCTCGCTGGAAATAAATCAAACATACACTTATTCTTTGGATTGTGCAGGGTTTAGAATTAGATTAATTTTCTATGTCTTGAAGTCCTCTTTTTTTTTGTCCACTTAAACTATCACTTATCAACAAACCCTACCTTTTGGTGTTATTGGGCATTGAAGTTATTTTGATGAGGTGAAAAATGGTAAAAATGTTGTTCTTTGGTGTCTTTGTTTGTGTACACTCTTAGTAAGTCTATGTTAGTGTTATGAAGAAAAACATGATTTTGTTACATATATATGTAATTTGTTTTTGCTTGCTTTTGATGCTATATGTTTCATTCTGAAAATTTATGTTAGTTTATATCGATTGGGGAACATGAATTTTGCATAATTGTATTTGTTAATGCTTGTTGATCATGTACTCGATCCTTAGGTGTGGGTGCTCGGCCTTTATAATATAGTTGTGTACAAAAACCCATAATGCATTCTTGATTACCTTTTCTTATGTTTGCTTATATCACCTAAATGCATGACTAATTTACTTTTTTGTTAAATTGATAGGTTTTAATTATAATAGAGGGTCAAAAAGAAAAACTATCAAATCTTAAAGGAGCATACGTCGACAAGCGGATATCGATGATGTGGTCGAATCCATTGATATGAGTTCTCTTGAACGTGACCCGTCCTTGCGTACACCAATATGGAAATGTCTCGTCGATTAAAGAATCGGATATCGTAATTTCATTAGCCCCAAGTACTTTAAAATCCTAGATCCGCCCCTAGTTGTGATCTTTGTGAAAGCTTGTGGATGTGATATATGTTGATCATGGTTATTTTCAAAGCACGTTTTCAGCCTTATTAGCATATTAGAATTTGGTTAAAAAAAAAAAGGCATGTACATTTTGTTTTAACCTTTTATGTGATGTTTGTTTTGTTGAGTTCTTTTGTTGATTAGCATGCTGAGTATTTGGGAACATTTTATAGCTTATAACTCTGTTTTGAAACATCCTTGAAGTTGAGAAAATTAATGAGAAAAGAGAAGGGAATGGGAAGCTTACATTATGCTTATATATTGTTGTATGTTTGGCCTCGACTTATTGCTGTTGCGAATTATTTGATTTAGCCGAGTATTGCTTTTTATTTGCTGAAGGTTATTCATGTTTTAAGTGGCTGTTTACATGCTTAAAAGTCAGAACATTGTTCAGTTTTGTTGGCTTATTCATGTGTTGGTATGGAAATTTGTTGTGTATTTGCTGAATATTTCTTTGAGTTTTAATTTGTTAATAATTAAGGGAGGATGAAGTTATTTGACTATTTGATTCAACTTTGGGGGTTTTTTTTTTAGATGAATTGTCTAATTTATTTGTGAATTGCGAGTTTATGACATGTTGCAATTTATTTGAATTTAGTTGCATGTGTATGCTTAGATTTCAGTTTAGTAAATGAATTAATTTGGATAAATGTGCTTATGAGGCCATGTATCATGCTGTAGGAGCATGTAAATAAGCTATATTCTTGTATTATGTTCATTGTGTTTAATTGCCTATTTTACTAATTCTATTGTGTATTTATGAGCCCTTAATTATGTTTGTTAATTATTTTTCCTGACGTTTCACCTTGTGGTTAGAAATGAATTTTCTAGCCTTACAGTTTATAGAGAATTGCTTGCTTTGTGTGTTATATCTGTTTGTTAATCAACCTCAATCAAACCGGTAATAATAATCAAACCCCAAATTTGTAGATTAAGAGGAGTCGAGCCCTCGCCCTTGTTTGAGCGTGTGTTCACCATCATCCTCTGCAGTACCAGGTGGGTTTTATTTGAAAAATTGTTATGCCTTAAATGTTATTACTGTTTTAATTATGGTATGATCAAAGTATGCATGTGGAACCATGTAGCCTTCGATGTGAGCTGTACCGGCCGTCGAACGGTTATCCCCGTAGCTAATGAACGTACCCGTAGGGTAGTCTCCTTTTTTAACCGTAAGACCAGGGTTAAAGTTCCCTGTGGACAACCCCGTTGGTAAGACCAAGGTGAGGCCTTGGCCGGCGGGTTACTCCTACTGACCGAGCATCGATGGAAGCCCGTGGGGTGATTCGATGTGTAGGACCGGAGGGCATAGATGTAGAGCCCATGGGGCATTCGAAGCATGACCCGAGCGAGGGCCTTCGATACATCTACCGGCAGTAGTCTATTGGTATAGATGTGCACATGAATCTATTATTGATATGATTGATAGGAGATTGGGATAATTAATTGATCGGTATACATGCTTGAGACCATACCTTATTGATTATTGATTACTGTTTCATTATTGTGAATAATGTTTACTGCATAGTGGTGAGCACTACTTTTTCCAATTGTGCTCCATTATTGTGAATAATGTTTACTGCATAGTGGTGAGCACTACTTTTTCCAACTGTGCTCATCCTCACCTGAAATTCACGTTTCAGGTTAAGCAAGGCGGGTACGACGGCGGAGTAGAGCGAGTGGTAGTCGGTCTTTGAGACCGGTCATTAATTGATTTTGCTTCCGCTATATTTACGACTATTTATGATTTATGCAATTTCGAACTTTGAGAATTTATGAGTATTGAGATACTGTTGGGGAGATGCCCCGTTGACATTGTTATGTCTTGAAAACTTATGTTTTATTTTGGGAACTCAATTTGGGCGAATTGATGATTTATGGATTTATGAATCCCGTTTGGGAGTTAGATGATTTATGTATGGTAATGATTTGAAATAAATGAGCAACGCCACAAATGTTTGAAATAAACTTTGAAGAATTTATTCTGATTTTTCTGAAAGTCCGGAATTTCTTTAAAATCAAAGTGGGGCGTTACAGAGGTACTATATATGCTTTGATTAAACTTGAGGCTTTTTATTGGTTCATGAAAACCATTTATTTTGAAACTACACTACTGCGTTTTTTTTCGTTGTCCTTTTCCCACTCAATGGCTTACAAATTTGGCTATCTTTCTTTGATTGCTTATATATATATATTTTCAGACTATTGATGCCAGCCTCATGGATGCAAAACTTTGTAGCTGGTTGCAAGAGAACTTAACTAAAATGGATATGGCGATTCCAACATTGCTGAATATATGGGCGACAAATGTTGGTCATACGCACGTGCTTGAAGAAGCTAGGAACATCATTCGAGGGTTCAAGCTATGATCGAGCTTATTATGATTTCTTTACATGGTTAGGTGAGGTTTCATGCTTTTATGGTTTTATATAATTTATCATTGCACCAATGGCACGCAATCATCTGTATCAATTACTTGTATTTGGTGTGGTATATTTTTTGGGTGCAAATCTTTGATGGTTGTGATTTACCCATAATCATCTACGTTGGAGTTCCAACTTTGTCTGGAGGTTTCAACTGAGTGATTAGAATTGTGGACTCAATGCATTTAAATTCAAGTGTCATTTGTCATTGCAAAATACAGGTTATAAAAATTCGTAATCTGAATCCCCATTGAAGTTGTAACAAGTTGACAATGCAATACCAAACTCAAAGATTAACATCGTTTCAGTAACTAGCAACTCATCATATGTTATAATGAAAAACTTCAATTCCTGAAGAGAGCATCTTATATAGTCAATTCAAACGTCGACATAATAATACCAAAACCTAGATAGACATTTGTTACTAATTTTTCTGAGGTGGTTTCATTTTGAGAAGATGGGAAACACCTGCTATAACATGGAGTCTGCTGCTTGGAATGCCAGTCTTTGCAAGTGCGTTCCCGTTTTTATCTAGCAACACAAAACATGGTACGTACTTGATGTCGTAATGGAGGAGCTGCATTTGCAGAATAAAGTAAATGAATTGAAGTAAGAACTTAAATCACCATAAACACAAACACAGAAACAAAAAAAAAAAAAAAACAAAAAAAAGGGAAAAAGGTATGAAGATTGATGCAGGATCATTAACAAGTAGAGCGAGCGCCATATCAGATACAGATATAAAACGTAACAAAAAAAATAAAAATAAGAAGTGTTCTTTTTATCTCTGTGAGCCATATATATTAGTTATAAAGCTAATTTGACCTGCCCACACTGTAATAGTTGATCTAACAGCTAGGAACTCGAAACTCTGCCCACATTATAGTCGGTAAAATTCAATAATGAGATCCCATCAAATGCTCATGTACGGTCGATTTTTCCCGTTTCATCATTTTCAAGAATTCAAAGCTCATGTAAAATGAACAAAAGCAAGGGAAAATAAATGGAGAAAATCACAAACAATATTTTTGGAATTAATCACTATAGAACCACATAAATAATAAAGGGAGGAAAAAGAAAAAAATAAAAATAAATTACCTCAGGCAACCATTTATCATTCTCTGCATCAGCCATAACGATGTTAAGCCAATCAGAGTTCCTCTTTTCAACCTCCATCACAAAACCCAGCAAAGAATTACAGAGTCCACACTTTGGAGAGTAAAACTCAATGACCGTAGCACCTTTCCCGCTCGCTAGAGCGCCTGCAAATGCCCTGTTCTCCGCCTCTCCTTGCTCTTGAGGGCTCAAAACATTTCTCTTTTGATCGGATGCAAAAAGGCCTTTTTGGAGAACTGCAAAATCGACCAAATTGAGGGCCGCAACGGTTAAATTCTTGACCGATTTGAAAAGCCAAGGGGTATCCAAAGAGCAGGGATTGTTGGTGGGGGTTAAGGGACTTTTCTGAGGATCGTTGTTACTGTTGTTAGCATCCCATTGCCATTTTAAGCAGAAAAGAGGCGTTTTTGGGGCTGAATTCATTTGCAGTTTTCTTGATGAGGTGTGGGCACTCAATACTCACTGCTGGCCTGTCACAACAATAGGTCAAACAAACACACCAAATTTCATTCTCAATTTCCAATATATGAACTCCTAAGGTTAAAACTCAAAATCCACAAGATCCGTAACTTCACACAGAAACGGATTTAAACACATGAACATAAGGGGAGGAAATTGGGATTCACCTCTCGAACACAACGGGACTCGACTGAACGCCTGCGGTCTGGCCACGTACTGCTCGTGGCTGGGGTTTGCGACGACTATAGGTGGCTGTACGGGCATGAACAGGGGCTCTCCTCGGCTCAGGGCTTCTGTCCGTGGTGGCTCGAACGACGGCGGGACGGTTGTCGGTACTTGGGCAAAAAACAGGCCAGGTGAAGAACAAGAACGGCTGTCGAACGAAGGTCCGATGAGTTGCTACCCAGTTCACGTGGCCGCTGCAACCTGATGTTACGAAACGGACGGTCGACGGGGTGCCGCTGCTCCTCCCGCACGGGCCCAAAAGGCTGCCGCTGCTATTTCGGGCTCCCCTCGCATTTACGGGCTGCTCGAAAACAAACCGGCAAGGAGCTGCTGCGGCTTACTGAAAAAATTACGGGCCTGCTTCTCGGCGATCGCGAAGGAGGACTGCTGTGGGACAAAGGTCGCCGGCGAGGTATCTCGACAAAGGGGCTGGTTTGCCGTCGCGCAGATGAAGGATCTCACCGGCCAGAGGTTAAAGGGGGAACGACGGGGTCTGAAAATTCGAACCGGGCTCGACTGCTAGAAACTCCAGACTCGCGTGCTATTATGCGGCGATGGCGAGATGACCGTGGCTTGGTCGGACGGGATCGTTGTTGCTCGCCGTAAGGAGTCGCGCGGCTATGGAGGATCGCTGGAAGGTCGCTGCTGCTGGTCTACGTGAGTGAAGCGGCTGGGATTTCGGGCGATGATGAGAAGAATCGGATTCCTCTTACCGCAAATACACACACGGACGGCGATTGGGAGAATTGGGAGAGGATCTGATCGATTTGCTGCAAGGAAAGATAAAATTTGCTCGATTAAAGTGGCGTCAAGGGTTTTCTGAGAGTTTGAGAGATATTGATCGAAGAAGAAGGGTTCTCAAGTCTGCTATGTCGGCTGACGATTTGGATTTTTCTTTGTGGGAATGGCCTCATCTATACTTATATAATAAGAATTAACCTTTTTCAAAATTAGTAGTTCAATTCTTAGTCAACATCCTGTCTGCATTAAATGTTTACTAAAATTAGTAACTTTTATGTCCTTTTCACACTTTTTTTTTTATGTCCTTTTCACACTAGATTATAAATGAACGGATATTATCTCACCTTTCATTAATCTCACCTATAATTCATGTGAATTGATTGATTGCCTTTAACTTTTCAAAACGTGTGCTATCCATTGTTTATTACTATTATTATTATAGTATGCACGTAATCAGTTGATTAAATAAATTATATATTATTATTATTATACTCACCACGTGACAGTTAATTAAAATATATCTATATCTATACTTATATTAAAAGGTATACTATTTACCAGATTTAGTATAAAGAAAAGTCAACAACATTTATTGCATTACTATTTCCGTATTATACAATCTATACTTATATAAAAGGAGATTCTATTTACTATCCAGAAAAGTTAACTGCATTAAATGTCATTACTATTTTGATATTATAATATTTTATTTATTTAATTAATTTATTTATTTATTTTATTTTAAAAAGGTAAGTATAATAAAAAGATTTTAATAATAAAAAAATCAAATACCAAATAAAAATGTACACTTTGACTTATTTGATTATATTTGGTATTTGATTATACCAAATATATTCCTATTTAGTATATACATTAAATACTTACTAAAGTATTTGTTTGTTTTATTTGTCAAAGTTAAGTATAGATTTGTTTATATTATCAAATCATAAAAAAAAATTAAATTCATATTGTAAAAAAAAATCATATAATTTTATAACAATTCTACTACACTATTTAACAATATTCCTTTTTTATTATATAATAAAATAATAATTAAATATTATATGGTGAACAACAATAAGTAAAACTGTTACTTTCTCTTATATCAAGGGATAAATTTATATGCTAAAATTAAATTTTTATTAGTATAAATATTTTAGTGAGATAATATATTAATTATTTTACAAGCTAGCCCTAACATGCTCATATTTAATGTTTTAAAAGATGTAGAAAAAAAACTTATAATAACTCTATTGTTTTTTAGACTTAAACGTTAATTAAAAGAGGTAAAAATTCTTAATTTTCTAGACTTAAACGTTGATTAACACCATAGATTGAGAGTTTATATTTAGTAAAATTCCTAATTGTAATAAAACAAATTAGTTTTTGCTATATTTTAGAATATCTTTAAATTCATTATAAAAAGAAAAAGAAAAAAAAACTACAATGAAAAAAACAAGTCAGTTATATATCGATTTGTTGTACTCCTCAAATATTCACAATCTGGCTACAAGGAAAGGAAACTCATTGATTAAAATATTATTTTGTCAGTAGTCTTAATGTACAAGAGACTTTAAGACTCCACTTTAATATTATAAAACTTTATTGAACATTGTACAATTTTCTTGCGTATTATAAACTTTTATTGAATATTGCATCTTATAATATAATATTCTCCAAATAAATATATCTCGTGCTTTGCACGGGTCACGTACTATATATATCCCATACATTTTTCTTTATTCATGTATATAATTATAAGCTTGGATAAATAACCTTAAAATTGTGCACCCCGTGCATCGCACGGGCTCTGTACTAGTTTAAACAAAAGCAAAAATAAAATCTAGCCATCTTTGTAAAAAAAATGAAATATAGCCATTTTGGGTTGTAAAAGTACATAATTGTCCTTAGACACAATTTTTTTAATTTTTCTCCTTTTCTAGCGAGCGGGCATTAAATGCCCGTTTCATCATTGTCGAGAATTCAAAGCTCATGTAAAATGAACAAAAGCAAGGGAAAATAAACGGAGAAAATCACAAACAATATTTTTGGAATTAATCACTATAGAACCACATAAATAATAAAGGGAGGAAAAAGAAAAAAATAAAAATAAATTACCTCAGGCAACCATTTATCATTCTCTGCATCAGCCATAACGATGTTAAGCCAATCAGAGTTCCTCTTTTCAACCTCCATCACAAAACCCAGCAAAGAATTACAGAGTCCACACTTTGGAGAGTAAAACTCAATGACCGTAGCACCTTTCCCGCTCGCTAGAGCGCCTGCAAATGCCCTCTGCTCCGCTAGAAAAGGGAAAAAATTAAAAAAATTGTGTCTAAGGACAATTATGTACTTTTACAACCCATAACTAACTAACAACAAACTTAATTAAGTACCTTATGGTTGGCTTTAAGCCCTATAAATTCTAAATTCCGTTCTTTACTTTATGCAAATACCTGATGGAAGTAATAACGCAATTTACTTTCTGCAATTTACTTTCCTCACTTTAATTTCTTCAAATACCTGCTGGAAGTAATTCCGCAATTTAAATTTCACACTTTAAATTTTGCATCTAAATTCCGTACACTTTGTAGTCTACTAGATATCATCTATATGTGCCCGTCTAATACCAGAAGGGCACAGGATCGAGCAGGAGGTAAGTAGCAAACAAGAGAAGAGAACATCTCACAAAAGATATATAACAAAAGCAATTAATAAGATGGGGTTAAAACCGCCACGTAAACAGGAGGGATTTAAAGTATGGAGCTTAAAACCGCCACTTCAACAAGATATTAATAGTACTGGAATTTAAGTGCGTAGACCAAAATACATGAATTTAAGTTATGGGGCCAAATTGCCAACCACATAACAGGTATTAAGTTTCGGAATGACTTCCAGTAGTTTTACAGAATTTAAATGCAGAATTTAAATACTGGAATTCAAATGTTTAGGCTTACTGGCCAACCATATAAAAGAAAATAAAGATGCGGAATTTCTTCAGACGGTTTTGTGGAATTTAAATGCAGAATTTAAATTGCAGAATTACTTCCAGCAAGTATTTGCGTAAATTAAAGTGCGGAAAGTAAATTGCAGAAAGTAAACTAGTACGTACCCCGTGCGATGCACGAGACATCCATATTAAATGAGTTACTTTTACAGTCTCTGTCCGTTTAAGTATATAAAGCAGTAGGGTTATCATATATTTTCCACCTCTCTTAATCAACGTTAAGTGTAGTCAAATAATTAATATATTATCTCACTAATACATTTATACTAATATAAATTTGATTTTAGTATATATATATTTATTCCTTGATATAAGAGAGAATAACAATTTTACTTATTCTTGTTCACCATATAATACTTAATTATTATTTTATTATAAACTTTGTTGTCATATAATGTCATTATTATTTATAAAGTTATGGAAGTTGTACGTCTTCTTTTTCTTTTTATTTTATGTAATGAAAAATATTTAATGCACATTAGTATTATTTATTTATGTAATCAATTTAAAATATGTAAATAAATTTAAAATTAAATAGTGTGTAAATATTTTACAAAATATACACATGTTTTTTTAGAATTTAATTTTGTATACTAATTAAACAAATTTGATTTAAAAAATTCCAAAAACTCAATCTCTTCTATGATCAAGATTTTTTTAATTCGCATTATAAGGATTTATAGTTTATTTAGCATACTCTGCAATGAAAATTTATTTTAAAATAATTTAATTATAGAAATAAATCAAAATAAAAAAAATAATCATGGGTGCCAATAATATACAAATAAATTCTAAAAAATAGTTAATATATTTCAATTTTAATTTTTTACCATTAGTAAAATTATTTAATGTATATGGTCATTATCTCTTAAATGGTAAATTATATTAATTTGAAGAACAAAGCGTAAGAAAAAAATATATTGGCAAAGATTAATTCACCAACTTGACTTTGTCAGATTACTTGGAAAAACAATTCTACCTAACCTGTACGATTTTTTCATAAATATTTTTGTATAAAAAGTGAATATTTGTGAAAAAGAAAAAACTATATTATGGTTAGAACTTAAAATATGGTGTAATATTTATCTTGACCAAAATAATATCAATATGGATCATGAAAATTAATCTTGTAATTTATTATAATGAATATCAATGAAAATATTATAAATATTAACAAAATAATATTTATCTTGACCAAAAAATTATCAACATGGATCATGGAAATCTTGTAATTTATTATAATAAATATCAATGAAAATATTGCATATATTAATAAATTTATTTAATTTTTTGATCATATCTTATTTGATCTTATTTGAAAACGTGTATATATAAGCAGTTAATGTATATATTTAAAAAGTTTCCAAAAACGACATGCATTAAATGTTTCCTAAATTTTTGGCTATTATTTTTAGTAAATGATAATTCTTATTATATATATATAGATTGCGGAATTACTTCCAGCAGGTATTTGCATAAAGTAAAGAGCGGAATTTAGAATTTTTAGGGTTTAAAGCCAACCATAAGGTACTTAATTAAGTTAGTTTTTGTTAGTTAAGGGGCTTGAAGTCAACTATATATTTATATAGTAATAATAACAATAATAATAATAATAATAATAATAATAATAATAATAATAATAATAATATGTTAGTATGTTAACACATGTGGTAGAACCGACCATGTAACATATCATTATAATTAATATTAATATGGGGCTAATGCCACCATGAAAGTAAGAAAAGAGAACACTTATGGGGCTGGAACCACCACAAAAATAAGACAAATTAAAAGTATGGACAAAAACATAAACATAAATGAACAAGAACTTGAACATATATGAACATTGTATTGATAATCGGTGTTTGATACAATAATTATTTCAGGCTTTCAAAGCTTTGAGCAATCTTTTTAATATACTATACTAACAATACATATGGAATTTGAAAGGGATTTGGGAATTTGGGAATTTGAAGAACACAAAAGAAAGGAAAAGCTATGGAAGCTTAAATCGTCTTGAATGCTCTCGGCATTTGGAGAGGAAAGAGAGGAGAGTAGATGAGAGGGGAGGAGAGAAGGCTTGTGGGAGAAAGAAGAGAGAGTAGTGTGGTGTTGGTGTTGTATGAGTTGTTCTCCATGTGGTAGTATTTATAGATGGATGATGGGGTGGGTGTGGGGTAGAATGGTGATATTTTCTTCTTCTTCATGATTTTTCTTTTGACTTTTTTTATTTTTGTTTTCTTCTTTTTTTTTCTATTTATTTATTTTTGAATTTTTTCTTTTTGATTTTTATTTTTTTTTCTTTTTTCAAAATTTTCTTGATTTTTCTCTTTTTTGTCTATAGCTATTACAACATCTTGAATACAAAAACTAAATCCTAGGAAATTAAATACATAATATACAATACTTATACAATATCGAATGTCTGAAAAATTCAGTCGAGAATCTATCCTGAATCAGACTTAGAGTGGAAGCTAGATGAGTCTATTTCATCATCTATTTGAGGGGATCCCTTTTTATTAAAGGAATAGTATGAATCTGTACTAGATTCAGAATTTGAATATCTAATAACTCAACTAGAAGATTAGAGATTTTTCTAATTACTTCATCTTCAAGTTTTAATTCTTGTAACTTTTTATTAAGTCTACAATAATTAGTTGTGTGTCCCTTTTTATGACATTTGAAGCATTCAACCTTAAACTTAAAAATTGATTCAAAAAGCCGCTCTGAATCCCTACCCCCAAATTATCTACTTTTGCCGCTCGTCTTCTTCTCCCAGCTCCGCCGTCCGCCTTCCTCGGCGAAATCGATGCTCTAACCAGTGGTCTCCCTCAGCGGCTCGTTCCTCTCTCTGATTGGTGCGTCTCCAGCGGCTGGTGGTCCTCTTCCCCGTCCGAGATGGTGGCTGCCCGGTGATCTCCCATGTTCCGTTCGCGACGGTGGCTGTTCCGGTGGTCTTCCCCACTTCGTTCGTGTTGGTTGCTGCTGGATTTTGTTCGGACTTCCCTTCTCCAGGTAAGGTCGGGCGAGTTCCAGTCGCCGGCTTCCCGACTCTTTCCAGAAAGGCTCGGCTGCTGGTTGATGTATTTGGTTGGAGCAGGGGGCGAGGTTCTGGCAGCCGTGGCGTCCGCGTCGGGGAGGTCCGAGTGGGGGGTCGGCCTGCCCTTCTCTCCCCAGTTCTCCTCTGTTGTGTTCGGGGGAGCCAACGCGGCTATAGTCGGCTAGTGGTGTTAGTCGATAGAGGGGTGGTGGCTTCCCACAGTGGGGGATGGATCCTTTTGGGTTTTGGTTCTGAGCTCGGTATCAGCTTCAGCTAGGCGATTCGGCAGTTTCGGTTGCAGTTACTGGGCCTGGGATCTCCCTGGAATCGATTGTTTTACTGCTGGTTTGACTCGAATTTTCCACCGCGAAAGGGCTTGTTTGTTCGTTGGTTGATTAGGTTTTTTGTTTTCGGTTGTTTTGTTCTTTTGTGTTTGTGTTGGTTAGGGTTTGTGTCTTTTTAGTTTTCGTATATTTTGAGTCTGTGTTTGGGATATTTTTGGTCTTGTTTTTTAGGTTTAGGCCGTTGGTCCCGGTACTGATTCCCCTGTGGGGGGCGTTTCTATTCTCCTGTGGGGAGCGTTCGTAGTTGGTGTGTTGGGGTCTTTTAGTTGTATGTTGTATTTTTTCTTTTCTAGCGTGGCTAGCGAGGCTTTAGGCGGTTCCGATCCGTCCTCCCAGTTTCTAGTTCCTGGTTGTAATATTCAGCCATGGGCTGCTTTTTTGCACAGTTGTGCATTTTGATCTATAAAATCCCTATCGTTTCGAAAAAAAAAGCATTCAACCTTTTTTAACCATTCACTAGAATTTTGTTTCTGTTTGGGTTATGAGTAAGAATTTATTCTTTTGGATTTCTTATAATAATCTATTTTTGAATTATCTCTATAATTTTTATTGGATTTGTAGTATTTTTTTGAAGGTTTTTCTATATTTTATAGTAGAACTACAACTAATTTTTTTATCTAACTTTCTTCATCACGATGATTACTTAAATAGGGTTATAGCCGAAATAATTAGTATAAGTATTGTATATTATGGATTTAATTTTTCGGACCGAATAGATTCTCGACTATATTTTCGAACATGCGATATTGTATAAGTATTGTATATTATGTATTTAATGTCCTAGGATATAGATTTTGTATTCAAGAAGATGTAATAGCTATAGATAAAAAAGGAGAAAAATTAAGAAAAACATGAAAAAATAAATAAAAAAAAATCAAAATCAAAA